GGGGTACGGTAATGCCGCTCCTCCAAGTTATTCGCAAGGTGTTGGTGAGCCTCTGCATGGCCAGCCTGCACCTTACAAGAGGTGAGAAGGCGAAGCTAGTTTCGGGTTGCGGTTCGAGATGTATTACGAGTATGACGTGAACATGAATACCCTCGTACGAAATGATAGATCCACACGAACGAACGTAACAAGAGTCCTCGTCTTGATTCTGATAGCCTTACATGGTGGCCAACAAAATAAATCACATTAGACGTCGGCGTTCTCAACACTGTCAGCATTGAAAGTTGACTGCCTATTGCAATACTCCATTACGGTAGTCGAGAAGGTGATGAGTAAATCGTCGCTTAATGGGTTGCCGCCCCACAGGCCATCTCTCAGAAGGGCCCCCTACACAGGGTGATGCCTCTTCTGCTGCCGTAGATATATGCAGTTTCCGAATAGTCTTACGTATTGTAATAGTGCGTTGTATGCTGGACCATCGACGGTCTGAGAATACCCTCCAAGTAGTCGAAGAGAATGACCGCCGCTTTCTACGCGCTTGCCTGCTGGGACGGCAGTATACTCAAGAGAGAATCAGTACTCCAACTCGACTACCTATCACAACACTTCCATACCATAGCGCTGGGTGCATTGCGTCGATATTTGCGCGATAGAACAGAGCTTCTGTTAGCCGCCTCTTTGGAGGGCCCTCTATTCGCTAGAAGGCTTGCATCGAATACCGATACTTGACAGACCAGTGAAAAAGTGCCAAGAACTCTGAAAGATATTCCGACGTCTGCTAGGTCTTGTTTTACAGGTAAGCGATCGACTCTTCACAGTTTCAGGCCGACACTTCATCTGACGACAGTCAGCATCAGCACGTCTTCCTGACTAGCCACCCTCGCCAGCAATCAGTCATACACCTTTGACTATTCAATCGACCCTGTCCATAGTTGGCAGCAATCGATCAGTCTTGCGCAGACGCAGGAAGGTATTTCTCCCTCACAAAATATCCGAAACGATCCACTTACTGACGAATCAGTCAACATCATGCCATCACGAAAGCTCTACCAGCTTCCCCCAACCCCGCCTCTCACGCCAATCAACCAAGACATCACACTCGACATGCGGCCAAAAGACGCGTACTGGCTCACTCTGTTCATGCTGCTCACCTTCTTCTTCGACCTTGACACCTCTCGCATGGACCCGGGACTGCGCATATTCGTCATGGCTTGCAAGGGCTTCGTTCTGCCATACTACTTTTTGTATCTTCGTTATTGCATTCAGCAAAGGGCGCAGGAAATCAAGAAAGACTGGAAGACAGGCGTTGGACCAGGACGTGTCTTTCGTCTGGTGGAAGCGGAGCAGACCGGCATCGGAACCGGACGTGTCTTTCACTTGGTGGAAAAGGAACGGAAAATGTGGTGGAGAAGATGATACGGGATGCAACGGGAAGGGGTGAGAGGATGAGGATTCTGAGACATACATGATTAAGGAGTAACTAGTGTAACGCTGATGCCAAGGGGGAACAACACGAGAGAGAATCGGGAGCATCGAATGCACGAAAGATCAGTCGATGGCAATGCGGCAGTGTAGCAAGAAAGAAGGCCAAACGATTGCAGAGAGGCGGCTGCACACATGCGGTGGGCGCCTGATCTAGTGCGACAAGTACGTGTTGACAGTGGGATGGGATGGTGGTATAGGTGAAATGAAAAGAAGGATGTTATCTTTGCGATATCGACACGCGTGGCGGGTGGAGATGTAGCTTTGGCATTACGGGCTCACGCGTTGCCCGATTGGTTTTAGGGAGTCCCCTCGAAGAAAGAGAAGAAGAAGAGGGTCTGCATGTCTTCTCTAGTTTCGCTTCAGGAACGCGCAAGCCTCCGTCAGCATCGACGCTCTCCCGCTCCATCTGACCTTTGCTGTCAATTACTTTCATTAAACAACCTCTGAAGAATCCGTTACTCTAGTCAGACAACTTTCCACCCCCGCCGGACAAACAGCACCGCCGTTCCCTCCCAACAAAGACTGCATACGCCGCCCGCAGCTTGCTCCCCACCCCTGTCCATGCTCCCGTAACCTTCTCGATTGTTGTCTCGACGCTCTTTACTCTACAGCCCCACCCCTTTGGACGACTCGAGAGCACGAGAGAAAACTTGTGCGGGAGTTCGCGCTGTCTTTCGTTTCCCTCCCCATCACACACACACATACACATGGCCGCAGACTATCGGATCCGATCCAGCCTGTGGGCTACGGTATTGCTTTTCTTGTCGCTCGCTCACGCCTTTTACATACCTGGTATGCCCGAACCTGTCTAGCCGGTGGATATGGCTTGGCTAACCCTTGAGCAGGCTGGTCCATCAAGAGTTATAGCGATGGCGAAAAGATACCCCTCTTCGTTAACAAGGTCTACTCGGATAACACCCAGCTGCAATATGCCTACTCGGAGCTGCCGTTCGTATGCCCTTCGACTGGGCGCAAACACGCCTCAGGCCTTATCAGTGGATCAACGTCGCTCTGAACCTCGGTGAGGTTCTTCGCGGAGACAGGATCGTGGTGTCGGATTACGAGCTCGAGATGGGAAAGGACGAGGAAGCGAGATACCTTTGCAGCCACAAGGTGGACAGAGCCGGACTCAGAAGAGCGCAAGAGATTGTCAAGGACGGCTACGTCGCCGAATGGATCGTGGACAACCTGCCCGGGGCCACCAGCTTTGTGACCGTGGATCAGTCGCGCAAGTACTACGCTGCAGGCTTCAAGATGGGCTACGAAGATTTTTCGCCTACCACTGGAAAGCCCAGGTACTTTATCAACAACCACGTGACGCTTGTTGTCAGGTATCACCAGGCGCCAGGAAAGGACGGGCAGCGAGGCAAGAAGGTCATTGTCGGATTTGAGGTTTATGCCAAGAGTATCGAGGCCGGAAATAGAGACGCGTCCGGGCTACCTGCCAGCATTCACGACGTCCGGAACGGCATGGAACTGACTGTGCGCAAAAACATGACCGCTGAGGCTGCGGAGAAGCTGTCTGGTTCCTCGTACATTCCCGAGGACTTTGACGACGGAGACGACAGCGCAACACTGACGATCCCGTACACGTATTCTGTGTACTTCAGGGAGGAAGAGAAGATTGAATGGGGCAACAGGTGGGATCTCTATTTCGTGAATCAGGAAGACAGCTCCAAGATTCACTGGCTGGCCATTGTCAACTCTCTGATCATTTCCGGTGTCTTGACCGCCGCAACGGCAGTCGTCTTCGCACGCACCATCCACGGCGATATCAAGAACTACAAGGAGGGTGGTTTGGAAGAAGGCAAGCTGAAGCGCAGCAAGGGAATCCGTTCACCCAGGAAGAGCGCCGAGAAGGGCACACTTTTGGAACAGCCGGACGGCGATGCAGATGCAGAAGTTTCCTCGGATGACGAACCCATTGAGGACATTACAGGCTGGAAGCTGGTCCATGGTGATGTCTTCCGGCCTCCGCCATACGGGGGTATCCTGGCCCCTCTTGTCGGCTCCGGCATGCAGCTCGTCCTTATGGCCACCGGACTCGTCCTGCTTTCCTGCTTTGGCATCCTCAACCCCAGTTTCCGTGGCGGCTTCGTCAGCGTCGGCGTCGCGCTCTTCCTCGTCGCCGGACTCTTCTCCGGTTACTTCTCCGCAAGAGTGTACAAGACGTTCGGCGGCCAGCTTTGGCAAAAGAATTGCGTCGTCACCGCTACTCTGTTCCCAGGTCTACTTTTCACCACCGTCTTCATCTTGAACCTGTTCGTCTGGGCACAAGCTTCCAGTACCGCGCTACCGTTCGGCACACTGGTCGGCTTGATAGCGCTCTGGCTGATGGTGCAACTCCCGCTCGTCTACGTCGGCTCCTGGTACGGGTTCGTCAAGGTCGGATCGTGGCAACATCCCATCAAAGCTACGGCCATCCCGCGCCAGATCCCGCAGCAGAGCTGGTACACGAAGAGCGTCCAGAGCGTGCTGCTCGCAGGCTTGATTCCATTCGCGGTGATCTTCATCGAGCTGCTGTTTGTGTTCAAGAATTTGTGGCAGGACAAGAGTGGATACTACTACATGTTCGGATTCCTGGCCGTCATCGGCCTCGTCCTCGTCGGCGTCGTCATGGAGGTCACCGTCATTGCCGTTTACATCCAGCTTTGCTCAGAGGTATGTTTCAGCTCCTTTTATCCGCCTGACACCATGCACCATCCCTACCACCCCTTCCTACCCTGTTACTCTCCTCGAAACCATGCAATGCTGACTCGTCTGCGCAGAACCACCACTGGTGGTGGCAATCCTTCTTCGTCGGCGCAGGCTCCGCCCTCTGGGTCTTCCTCTATTGTGTTTACTACTACTTTAATCACCTCCACATCCAGGGCTTCGTCTCCTCGCTCCTATTCTTCGCCTACAGCTTCCTCGCCTGCACCGTCTACGGTTTGCTTACCGGCACCATCGGGTTCTTGACAGCCTACGCCTTCGTGAGGAGGATCTACGGTGCCATCAAGGCCGACTGAGAAGTTCAAATCAAACTACAATGGGCGGTGCGGTGGGAGCAAAAGGAAAAAGTTCCCACCCTTCCCGGGTATCATGTATGATTTGGTGGGGAAGAGATGAAGTTTGCGTGTCGCTTGTTTTCTCTTGTCGTGCATTTTAGCGGTGGGCAAGGCGGACATTTCCCTGGCGCCTCTGTGGAAACCTTTCTTTCCGGCCTTTTGGGCGCGGCGGCATGGCGTTTTTGTTCCCCGATAGAGTATCGCTACACGCGCATGAACCTCTTGAGATGTCCGGCGCAAATAATAATCATCTTCATCAACTGACAAAGGCAACAATCTATCCTTTCAGCGCTGGCGCCCTGCTACTAATGCGTCTCTGCAGCCTTCTACACTCCTTTCTCTACACGAAAAGGTCTTCTTCAATCGCCTGCTACAATTCCATACGAAAAAGAGATATCCGGCCCCTGACAGATTTGAACTGGAGTTGCTAGTGTCGCGCTCTATCAACTGAGAAAAAGAGATAAATAGCGACGAAGGCAGGATTCGAACCTACGCCCCCGAAGGGAATTGATGGCTACCACCGTTGTGTTGGTTTTCAACACCACTGATGGTTTCTAGTCAATCGCAGTAACCACTTTGCTACTTCGCCTGTCTAGTTGGAACATTTATGATATTGGAAAATTAAAAGTCGTTGACAATGAGGGTGAAGGAAACCAGAATGCAGAGAGCATCCAGGTCCGCAGTGGGTATGATGCTCTAGCACGATGAGAATTCGTACGGTGCAAGTTCTCGTTAGGTCTCCAGGCCGAGGAGAGCCCGAACCCCTGCAACGGTTGGGACAAAAGCAAAAATATTCGTCGTCTTGGATTCCCATATGGTCACCCGCTGCAGTACTGGCAAGACGGTCGACTGGTTAAGTCCAGGAGAGCGGACAGGATCCTCTGTTCTCAGCCGCCTGTGATCGAATGTACTGAGTCTGGATCATTCAACATTCACGTGTCTTGTATTGAGGGCAATCCGTCTCGGGCCGGAGTATCGTAAAGTTGTCACGGCGACGGCCCGAGGGAAGAACTTGGAGTTCGCCATAACCTGCCTGTTCTTGAAGCAGATGAGCAAACCGGCTTTAGTAACGCAGGGTGAGCGTCTTTTTGGTGAGGAGTAGTTGAGGAACGCTGTGCCTGTAGAGCGAGATCATCCAATTATGCGTTGTATTATCAAGACATCCCAACCAGGAGCACGTGTGAAACCGCACATTCCCACAGTACTGCAGATGGAGCGGTCCCCTGTTGGTGAGCCGTGATGTGAACGAAAGGTTATAATTTTCCTGGCTCAGCTGTGCATAACGGTGAGTGAACAATTTACATGCAAAAGAGATATGTACAGCAAGCTGTGCTTGTCCGCAGGACATCGGTTCAATCACTTAGGGAGGGACAGCGACAAGGCCAGGGAATGCTGCGAGGAATGTATGTCGGAATCGGCGATCTAGTAGGACGCCGGGTGCACACCCGACCTCCAGGATGGCAGTGTCTCGATTCGGATGCACGTGGCCATTCGCTGATGGCTGTTTACGGGAAGACGGTAGAGAAGGGACACCCCGGTTGTAGTAGATGAGGTGAGATGGGCAGACGTCGGGTCCTGCCGCGTGCGGCTCAAACATGCGGGATCCTCTGAGGTGGAAGGGTAAGTGAGGGGTCATTGCGGTGAACTAACACCTGAAGGCTCCGCAGTCAGTCACGGCTTGAAGGAGGCTGGCTGTCGAGACGCAGTACTCATGGTTGAAGTGAGGGGCAGTGGATATCTCCAGTCTTTGGCTGAAGGTTCCGGAGTGCAGGTGTCCCGGTCTGATTCCAAGTCCTATTGGCTTCTTTCACATGTCCCTACCGTCGAGACATCGTTAGATGTGGGTATCTTTGCAGCGGCTTCTTGGAGCTCGAAACCGTCAGAAACTCGGTCTTTAGTGCCGGCAGATCTGGTAGCCTCAAGGAGCTCAACTTCGATAGTGTACAGTGGTTCGAACATTTCTCGAAAGTACGCTGCCAAGGACTGTGACAAGGGCTGTCGTGGCGTGATACGAGTAAGACCACCAAGACATGTGCCAACCATGTAGCTTGGTGCGCGCTGCGGCGGGAAGGCGGGCGTGTCGCTTATCTTTGGTTCTTAACTTGCTAGTCAATCTCGTGACGAGGTTGAACGAGCTCTTTCAATGGGGTGAAGTCGAACTGGATGGAAGCTGCAATTGCTAAGCCCGTATCGCGCCAAACAATTAATCACGTAGAAGCGGTCTATCGACTGATGTTCACACTTGATTTGACAGAGCAATGTCGTGCCAGCTGACCGCTTATCGTGAAGGGGCAAGTGCAAGCCTTGTTCTTGGGCCGGCGCGTACGCGTCTGTGGCTGCCGGCAACGAGTCCGGTCTCTTCTTTTGGATGCTGTGAGATCTCTAGCTGTCCAGCAGCAGCCCTCAACAGTCCTGCTAGGTGATCAAGAGTGCAGCTATGACGGAATAGAAATAGACGATGCGGCAAGGATCATTTGAGAGGGCATACTTCTGAGTAAGCCTAGGTACCCGGAAGGGAGATGCTCCTGCCGATAGCTGCAGGTCCAGGATGATGAAGCCAAGACAAATGCAGAATCCGGTGGTGGTGAATCAACGCGGCAACGGGCGATCGGTATGCGAGTGTTGGAACAAGCATATCGTTAGCATAGTGCAGAGTGGTTTCGGAGGACACGAGGTTGACTTGGATACCGTTGGGGTGACAAGATGGATGTTTCTAAATACGTACCACGCTAGCGGCTTTGGGCCTAGTGGCTTCTCATGCGACTGCTCAGCCTCGTGTTTCTCTGCTGCCACCCTACCACTCTCTCACTCAACCTCACCCATGCCTCGCTGAGACCCGCGCACTTCACCATCGCATCACACTATGCTACGCCACGGTCCAGCCCTATGTACGCATGTCACGCCCACTCGTGTTACCAAGCTGCTATATGCGGTACGTACTGGCCTGGTCGCCGACGCCGTATGCTGTCAGCAGCTAAGCACACCGTGGCTGCTGAGGTTACTCTGTCATGATTAGCAACTTTACGAGCCATTCGCTAAACAGGGAAAGAGGTGAGTGTAACATCAGTAAGTAGTTTGGCTGTCGTGCAGTATATCTATCATCTGCAATTCCCTCCACCGTTCACTCTCCATCATCAAACAAACCAAAAACAACCACCACCACCAATTTTTCCTTATTTCCTTTATTTCCTTACCGACCAGATCACACTCGCTTCTGATCTGCATAGCGCTTAATATCGGTTGCTTTGCACTTGCTTGACACAGTCGCTTTCTACTACGTCCAAGACACCCACAGCTTGAACATAATCGCCAGCACTCTGCCTATCGCTAATAAAATAATCACAATGCACGCCTCCATCTCAGTCTTGGCTGCTGCCCTCGTCGGCACCGCTGCCGCCCTTCCAGGAGATGTCTACGGTTACCCAGCATGGGGAACCGGCTCGAGCTCCAGCTCCTCTGCTTATTCGACGACATCGTCTGCCAGCCAACACTCCAGCCAATCGTCTTCCTCAGCTTCCTCGTCTTCCACTTGGCTTCCAAGCACGTCGATGACAACTCAGTCCTACCCACTGCCAACTTCTTCTTCCTCGTCGTCCAGTGCTGTCTACAGTCATTCCAGCAGCACCGGCAGCAGTAGCAGCAGCAGCAGCAGCAGCAGCAGCAGCTCGATTCCAAGTTACTCAAGCAAGACTAGTGGATACCCAACTCCATCCCAATCTTCGTCTTCTTATTCCATCCACAGCACCGGCGGATACCCTCAATCTTCCAGCAGCTCTTCCCTGAGCTCTTCAAGCACGTGGTACCCTCACCCAACCGGTGGTTACTCCTTCTCCTCCTCCTCCTCCTCCTCCTCCTCCTCCAGCCTCAGCTCCAGCACGTGGTATCCTCACCCGACTGGCGGTTATTCAAGCTCAAGCTCTTCCAGTACATGGTACCCCCACTCGACTGGCGGCTACTCTCCGAGCTCCAGCACTTGGTACCCTCACCCAACTGGTGGCTATTCAAGCTCTAGCAGCCACTCCTGGTACCCTCACTCCACGGGTGGATACTCCTCGTCCAGCAGCAAGACGACCTCTACCTACCCTCACCCAACTGGCTACTCCAGCACTGAGACTAAGACGACATACACCACAGTTACCACGTGCCCAGTGACTGTCACGACCTCTGGTCGCGTTGAGACTACGCTGACAACCTCCACAATCACCGTCACCTCCTGCAAGGGCGGCTGCCACCACGAGACCTACCCTACCTCGGCCCCCACAACCTACTATCCAGGCACCACCACGAAGGTGATCACCAGCGTCTACCCCACCACCATCAGCAAGACCGTTACTTCCTTCGTGCCATGCTCTACTCCAGTCACCACCTCCAACGCCCACACCTACTATTCGACCTGGCTGACTGCGACCTCCTACGTCACGAGCACCATCTCGACCTGCACGACCAGCTACACTCTGTACCCATCTGTGCCAGCTACCTACCCAGCCTCGCCAGTGACCGTTCAGCCAGTTACCGACTACCCAAGCATGCCACCAAAGTCCACCGGTCTGCCCCCAACCACGGTCTACGGCCCACCACCAGCTGAGGGTACTTGCCCACCAGCCCAGACTGTCTACAGCACCATCGTCTCGACTGTCTACGCCCAGCCACCACAGCAGACCTACGGCCCTGTCTACGAGACCGCCACTGTGACCCTGTACGACGGCCACGTCACCACCGTGTACCTGCCACCAAAGGAGACTCACCACACCTACACACCAGGTCAGAGCCACTCGTGGTCCGTCTCCACCTCCACTAGCGTCTATCAGCCTACCGGCACTGGTGTCCACAGCGGTCACCACTACAGCTCTAGCAGCAGCAGCTCCTACCAGCCAAAGCCAACCGGCTACTAAACTTGAGACCTAGGGAGCTATACGCAGCGACAAATGGATGAGGAAATGAGGGGGAAGTACTGCAATAATAGATGGATTGGGAATGGGACGGGATGGGATGGGATGAAAAGAACTGCATGTGATTTCGGCAACACTCTTTTTGATGATAGACATGTTTTGCGAGCGATTTCCGCGCACAGCATAGCGTCAGGCGTTGATTGGGAATTCTCTAATATCCATATATTGCTATCTCTGCAGGATGATTGGTATAGGCAGTGGATTATTGAGATAACAAACCAAAATTCACTTTTGGGAGTCCCCTGTCTATCTACCTTTCCTCTCTCCAATACTGCTCTACTGATGCTGATGCTCTTCGCGAAGACCTCTGAGACTGCCTATACCTCTCAGTAAACCTCCCTCAACCCCCAACCCACACGCATAACTCTCACGATAACGAACATGGCCAGACCGGTGACATAGCACAAGCCGGTGAAGACGACGACGCCCCAGTAGGCGCCACCACAAGCCGAGATCAGCGCACCAGCAATAGGCACTCCCGTCAACGTTCCCAAACTGACGATCGTGTAGCATGTGGCATAGTACCTGCCATACTGCTCCGTATCGCACTGCTGGCCGACACAAACCGGCGTCAGACTGATGTTGCTGCCGGATCCGAAGCCAAAGATGACAGAGTAGGCGACCGTCAGTCCGAAGATTC